AACGAGACAAATTCAAAATTTAAAAAAAGGTAGTCACACATTTCCATAAAACATTAAAACTCAAAACGTAAGCGTAAATTCACGGTACAAATAACCTTTTTAAGTTCTACACAATTAACGTGTATTAGGCTATGTTAATCAGAACGCTTCAACACTGCGCTCATACCAAACGAATTTAGTATGGGATGATATTAAGTGCAGACTTTATACAAATCATACATTGTATGAAATTTTGTATGAGCGCGTTGTTAAAGCGTGCCGTTAAGTACGGCACAACCCTTATAACTCATTCATACTACGTCCACTATAAGATAATCTCTGATAGATAATCAATTATGTAGCAATATTTTATGTAGAATGCTTGCGAAAGTTTGCGTCAGTCATCTAGTGTTTTACCAAGTCTTTATCATTAATAATTGGGACATTACTGAATCGCTTTTAGGTTGATTTATCTGGCGTTGGCAAGGAATATTCACAAAAACTTTTGTTTCTAGTCAGAGATCATCACATACTGGTCGTAGTGTAAATATTTATCAATTACTAATAACAATGCAATGGTCGACATACATATCATATGAAGCTAAAATTTAATTGTAAATTTCAATAGACCCCAAACGATTTTTTATATTTTTTTTTAAATCACAAGACACTATTCATTAGACTAGTTTTTTTCTAAAATGGCAACTAAATAGTTGATTTATAATTCGTTACACTTGTGTAAATATCCAATGGTCGGAACAGGGTGTTTAAAATGAGAAGATAACTGTCTACATATAAATACAAGGAGTGACATGGAGTGGTTAAAACCACCAAATATTAATGAATTACTTACACCAAATATTAATAGTTTTACAGCATCGTAAAACAAAACTTCTCACCTAGGAAGCAGAAGTTCCATTTTAAAGTAATTACTTTAAAGAGGCGTTATGTAAAAAAAATGTAGTATAATTTCTGTTGACGACCAATTATGTAGGAATATTTTATGTAGAATAAGGGCGCGTGTACACGCTAAGAAATTCGAAAATTGATATGAAAATAATGAGTATGTACACGATACGAATACTTTCGGACAGACGTGTGTATGGCAAAATGTGTCAGTGCATTACGAGTCTTCCAGTTAGCTGTCGTTTTACTACCGACTGTGGGAAGAAATATGTTGTTGTATATTTTGACTACTAAGCAACACCAATCCACGCGCATAAACATTTGTTTGACAATGCACATCACCCCGTCCCATACAATAACGGCAGAGAGAGATTTTTTCTTGTCCGGCGCCGAGACAGTGTACACAGGTCGTATGGAGAAACGACACGAATTCTTGCATAGACCCGGTGACTTTTTTTAGCGTGCACACGCGGCCTGACAGTTTGCATCAGTCATCTACAGTATGTTACCAACAATAATAATAATAATAAAAATATGGGCGACGTCTTTATCATTAATAATTGGGACACTGGTGAGTCACGTTTAGGTGACTTATCTAGCCACGTACCGATGATAAATCACTACTACCATTTTCTTACATAGAACAAAATACCTACTGCATTTTTTACATAGCGCCACTACAATTTCTTTCAAACGACCAACCTTTCACCAAAGTAAACATTTTTAATTGATTCCTAGCAATAGCTTGTTTTAACTGCCGCGGATATTGTAGATACTTTTATTAGCCTACAATGCAGTAAAACTGTCCGGAATTCGAAAAAAGTAATTAATTAACATTTGGTGGTTTTAACCACTCCATGTCACTTCTTGCATCGTGTACACATTTATGTGCTCGTTTGGAACACCTATTCCGACCATTGGTAATAACGTAATTATTTATTTTTTAATATCACTGTATTACATTACAATTATGTATAAGATTGTTATTTTTAGTACATTGTAATAAGTTGCAACGACTTTTCGAGTTTATTATGAAAAGATTAATACTTTGTATATTACTGTACAGTCAAAAGCATAAGCTTGCCAATTTGGCCTTTGGTACATTCTTATCGCAAATAGCTTGAAGTTGAAGTTTTAATATTGTGTCAATTTTCACGTATTATTGACCGTGTACCAGTACCAACTACCTGTACTATCTTTTCGAAAGATTTGTAGTAAACGAGTATACCGACTAAGGCTGTCGTAGACCAGAGAGACTGCAGCAGGAAACCGTAGACAACGGCGGTAGGCCGCAGGCGATTATGGGTTTTAATGCAAGGATGAAATCCAAAGCATAGCCGAACGACACCGTCTGCGTATGCGGTTTGCCGCTACAATTGGCAGCGCAGTTTTGAATACCTTTGTTTACGAATTTATTTTATTATAGAGTATCAAACATACTAAAATGGTCTTATAAAGTTTGTTTAAGACTGGACCGTGGCTTTCGAAACAACTCATGGAACCTTTTTGGTCCACACTTGTATTTCTAGCGTAAGGGGCCCGTGATATTAAAGGCCTGTTCAGACATAAGCGTTATTCCGCTGTGGGTAGCGAAACGGCATCCCGCCGGGTATTTGTATGAAGTTTGGCGGCTAAAGCGAAACAAATATCGCGCTATATCCCCAGATAGGCGGCATTTTTTCGCTTGCTTTGCGAAACAGGTCTAATACGAAGCAACGTACGAAGATCGCGATTTGACATAAATACTTGATTAATTCCTTAATGGCAGCCACTAGGCGTGGGCCAGTCAGTTTCGAGGGATGTAGTCAGTTAATGTTGATTAACAATTTCGAAAAGTGCATTTATGTGGCTCCTGGCTATATAAATGATTTTTTCTTCACCTGTAAAGTTGTCAAAATTGAGATAGTACAGGTTGCCAGTTCACAGTCGATACATTACTTAAACTTAGGCAAACTTCGTTTTTTAAATACGTTACCTTGTATAATCAAAGCCAAAGTTCATTTTATAAATATCGGCATAAGACTGTCGGATGTTATACTAAAGTGCTACAAACTCGAACCATTATGGACTAAATCGGACTTAATAGACATCTGAAGTCAATAGGTGAGTTATATTAAATTAAATTTTGTCTGTTGTTGTATTTTCTCTTCTCAGTGAAGTCTACCATCGAAAATCACTGGTCGAATTCTGAGTAGAAAACGCGTGTCTTTCTTAACTAGACGTTAGCGGAATATCGATTGTCCTGATGTAGCTATAGCACTTTCAAAAAGAGACTGTTCATTATAAACTCAAAAAAATCGTTACTATATATTGCCAAATGTAACCACAAAGTTGATTATGTCATGTATTATATAATGTTACATGTATACAGATTATTTTGTCACAAACTATGTCCTGATGCATTTCATTATTTACATTAGAATCTATATTTACATTCTTTAAAACAATTCGGATACTTCTGGGAGTATGTGATTTTTTTCCTATTATACATAACGGGCATGAGACTTAGCGTGATAATTATTGCTAACTACAGAGTGGTGAAATATTATACAGAATAATATTTAATCCTCCTACAACTTTCATGCGATTCTGTTGGACTGAGGTCCATATTAATCCATCTCAAATTCAAGATTGATATCGACGCTGGAAAGGTAAGAGGTTTTATGTGCATTTACAAAATATTACAGGAGAGCCATTTATAGTTTTTTTTAAGAAAAAAAAATCATAACTCTAATTTTATTTGTAATATGGAATATTCATGGAGTATATAATTACAAATAGGGACCTTATTTCGGCCATCCATCCCTGGCAACTCATCAGGCAAATGGGCCATATATTACTTTTAAATATCAATTCTCGTTTGCGCTGAAATCACAAACTAGAAAGCCGAAATAGTACAGCGTCAACAACTTAGCTGTGTGTACGTCTCTCCGTAATTCCAAAAATATTCGGTATTTATTGTAATAAAGATAATATCTCTAATAATGGTTCCATTCGGTGGTGCGGGAAAAATAGCAAAACATTTAGTTACAAAACAAACGGAATCACGTTTCATCGGTAATTACATATGAAATATGTAAGTATTCAACTTTCATCCATTATAGTAAAGCTCAAGTTAAACTGGTCGATTTGAAGTGAAACAATTGACGACCCTCGTCAATTGTCTCGAATTCGGGCTGGCCAATCGGAGCGCAGTTGTTACCGTAATAATTTGGCAGAACAGTTTTCAAACAAATTAAATTACATTTGGTCTCTATTTCTGGTTATATACTCGATGGGAATATTGGAACTTTCTAGTTTTCCATATAACTAATACAATTAGTTATGCATTTTTTTTAACTGCTTTAATCGCACTAATGTAATATTTTCCAAATGCACAATAGATGTTTTACCTTTCCAGTGTCGATATTTAAAATCTTATTTAAGTCAATCGTCTTTATTTATAAATATCACTCCGGGGCACATCAACGATTGATCGAGTTGTTTAAAAACGTCACTCAGCAATAAGTCCTAATCAATCGAGTGCGGGGTCTTGGTCGCTGAATATGCTACCATTGAAGATGCTGACGCTTATAGTCCAATTAGTGCAACGGAGTTCAAGATGCGTCTCGAGGTCTCACTTAAGTCGTTCAATACAGTACAGCGGCAGACATTTCGATGGCTCATAGGCACAATTTTCAATGTAATAAAATATATATTTTGTTCGTTTGTATTGCTGTACGGTTGTACCTTTCCGTCCTTCGCATTCAGGCACTAAGTCTAAGCTATGTGAGGTGCGTTTCCATTTCCTACCAGCTCGAAGTCGTCTTGAGTACCGCTACAACTACACCAAGCCGACATTCGGCGTTTACAACTCCGTTATTCCATACAGAAAGTCCCCGCCGAGAGTCACGATTTCCGAGAGAGATTCCGATCAGATACACCGAGCCGAGTATATTACATAAAGAGAAATGTACAAAAACAAAGCGACATAAAGCGGCGAGGGAGCGGCACTATCAGTTCACGGCGCCGCCGGGCACGTCCAGCGGGATGAGCCGCACCCGGCCGCCGGCGCGCAGGCGGATGGTGCGGCGGGGCGGGGGCGGGGGCGGGGGCGCGGGCGCCGCGGCGGGCCGCTAGGCGTGCCGCGGGCAGAAGGCGCGGAAGTCGTCCTCCTGCAGGCGCCAGCCGGCGGCGCAGGGCACGTGCACCTTGAGGCGGCAGCCGCGCGTCGCGCACGCCACCTGCGCGCCGGCGCGCGCGCACAGCGAGCAGCTGGCGCCGCGCGCGCCCCACACGGCCGCCGCCAGCCCCCACACGCGCGCGCCGCTGGCCAGCAGCCCCGGCGCCCACACGCCGCACGCCTCGTGGAACCACGCCTCGGCCGACTGGCGCCGCGCCGCCTCGTCCAGCGCGCGGTACTCCTCGCAGTCCGTGTCGGCCGCGTAGGGCCCGAACAGGTCGCCCAGCCCCTTGGCGTGCGGCCCGCGCCCGCAGAAGGCGCACAGCCACGTGGCGTCGGGCGTGGTCGCGTCGTAGCGCAGCCCCAGCGTGCTGGCGTGCAGCCCGCGCGCGCGCAGCCCGTTGCGGAACTCGCCCTTGCGCGCGCGCACGCTCTCGCCCTCCTCCTCGCCCGTCGACGCGTTGATCACCGACACCGACAGCGGCGAGTCGCGCGGCCCGCGGATCTGGGGGCCGTACCGGATTATTAGCTTAAGCGACAAAAGAAGTGGTACGGCTAAGTAAGCACTGGAAATCAAACACGCACTTCAGCAAATACGACACAACTTTATTACACAGATCATATTCGGCGAAATAAATAACTTCTTTCATGTAATAGAATCACATGGCATTGGCAGCGCATTAAAATTTAAAATTAAATAAATAATAATGCAGTGACTGCGCCCAGAACATTGCACATTGAGGTAGTCTCAAAATCGTATCGTATTTGGCTTTTATTCATTCCAGATAATACTATCAGCAAAATTGAAGCCTTCAAAAAAAAAGAATGAAACGTGGATTTACGACTTAACAGTTTTTCTTTTTGAAGACGGAGTAAATTGACAGTATATTGCGTAAAAGTGTTGCCTGCGTGCAAGCAGCTAATGATTGCAGTCGGTAAATATTTTATGAATATGTTTTATTGGAATCACCAAAGACCCGTCCTCAGTTCCACTGCTAGGGCCCTCTCTAACGAAATTATTAGAACGTCATAACATTCACAATTTTTCGCAAAAGTTTACTTACTTTCACAATCTATAGATAAAACTGTCAACAACTACCAAATGATATCGAGTTCTTAGGTTTTCGCGATTGTTACACATAGGACTGACTCAGTCAACCGTGACCATGGGACCTGTAAAGGGCCCGAAGCGTCGGTTTGTTTGAAAAAACAAATATACGCGATTTAAATCCGGAAAAATAGTTTCATTTCCTAAACTACCAAATGACTATATAAAATTTTACGAAAACTGGCAACCATGCAAATGTCATTTTACTCTGTCTTCAAAAAAGACAATCTATAGGTACTTTTAGAACCGTTTTAGAACTTATTATTTTTTATATTAATATTTAAATAGAGTGTTTTCACGTGGTATCGAATCGAGTAATTGTTTCGTTGATTCCATTTAAAGTCACATCCTACTCTCTTAGCTGCCTAATCGGGCCTATTCACTGCGAAGGGTTACTATAATGGACTGCCACGCAGCGGTTCGGAAATATTTGTATGGCCTACATTTATTTCTCTTCTGAGTTTGGGTGTAATTTGTGGTTGTCTATGTTTGTGTCCATGGCACCCGCGACACAGGGTTTGCCTAGTGCTATGAGTGTGTGTTATTATTGTTATTAGAGTGAGAATTAAATGAAATGTGCAAGTCAGTCATTCACCTGGATATAGGGGCCCCTCGACCTGCTGGAGCTGGCGTTGCTGCCCGAGTCGTAGGCGTCCTTGGCCTCTTTAGGTTTGCGCTTGGCTTGGCTCTTGTTGCGTGTGCCCTTGCGCCGCTCGTCGTTGGTGGCGGCGCGGCTCTTGCGCCGGCCGGCCTTCGCCTCTCCCTTGGCCGGCGCGGACCTAAAGTAGTAATAGTTTCTGGTTAGTTGGAAGAATTATTTTTATGTGATAATTTAGCCTTTGTACATTAATATTTCAAATTGTTGCCACCATACCCATACTTCGGGGAAAAGTCTTAAAATGAGCCATTGATGTAGTTGAGTTAAAAGAAGGATGGCGAAAGCTGACCCAATAATTATAAAATCGACGAAGAGTCGTTCTTGGACTTTACTAGTGTGATTTTACGTTTTAGTTTATGTCTAGTTATCAATATATTTTTGTATATTTTTAGAAGTCGGGAATAGATTGTAAAACAATGTATTTTAGAATAAATGCAAGAACAACGCAATTGATCCAATTCGACTACAGATTAGGTAACATTCTTGTACGTAAGTTTAATTTTAAGCATAATTGAATGTTGACCTACCTAAAGTATTGGTTATTTTATAGAACACAAATACAACATTAAAGCTATAAAATACTTAATCAAATAATCAATTAAACAGTAATGGCAATATAAAAAATAAAAGAAAATGTGACAAAAATGTTTAGACAATATTTAAATGAGAGATAAGAACGATGGAAACTATCGGGGGTCTTCTTAATGTATGTCGTTAAAAACACTGGGTCACAAAATACACGGGAGGTTCTCAATTCAATTGTATTTATTTTTGTATGTATGTTACGCGGTTTGTGAACGGATTTTGAAGATTTGTTAGAGGGTACCTCAGCATTGGTCCCATTTAATTCCCTTTAAGGGTGGTAATTAGGGATGAATCCGGTTTATTGGATTACACCCACTTTCTTTTAATCGATTGCAATAAAACGTGGCAAATAGATATGATCTCAAACTTTTGTAGTTGGTTTTTTTATAACAAAAAGCTATATTTTTTTCTGCCTAATTGAAGAAATATTTTTCGTAGAAAAATGATATGAACCAAAACATTTATAAAGAATACAATGTCATTTGTGTATGTTTATCGCTCGCCTGGCAAGCTTTGCAGTTTACATCTTTTCTCCCCTGAACTATCAATGCTCGACATCGTTCGTTTTTGTGGTATTCAATTCAAGATTTCATTCCTTTAGGTCATGGGGTGCTATACGAAATGCCCAAACTATATGGAACTGGGACTGTTCCCAAAGTCAGGTTCAAAATTTTTATATTCCTTGTGTATAAGTCGACGACATCTACTTACCTACGCCGCTTCCTAGGTTCAGCAGCTTTATCGCCCTCCGAGCCGGCGGCGGCTGGTTCTTCCTCAATGCCAGCGAACATCTTCTCCAGCTGGTTCTCCACTTCTACGAAGCTCGCGGCCGTGGGTTCGGCCGTACGAGCTTCGCCCGCTTCGCCTTCCGCCGGTTTGGCCTCGGAGGGCGACTCCACAGGGACGTTGGCCTCCGCGTTGGAGGTACGTGCACTTCTCCGCTTGGGCGCGGCGGCCACCTCCACCTGTGGCTCCGCGGGTTTCTCTTCGTCTCGGTCATCAGACTTGTGCGGCGATTTACTGACATCCGGCTCAACGGTGGCTTTATCATCGCGATGCGGACTGGCCAGCACGCTCTCAAGTTTGTCGATCGAGTCGGGGGCGTCGTCGGAGTCGACGAGCGGCTCGGCGCGCGGCGCAGGCGCAGCCACCATCGCCGCGATATCGTCGATTGTCTCTGCCGAGTTCGCGCGCGTTTTTCTCCGCGCGTGCGGCTCCAGGGGTGGGGGGGACGTCGGCTGAGGGGGGGTGTTTCGAGGAGGGTCCGGCGGGTTGGGAGGGTTCGGCGCTCCGTGTGGGTTCTCCTTTGTTTTTGGCTCGGAGCCGTTTATCTTTTCGTGCGCAGGCACACCGTTCTCCACGGGGGGTTCCTCCTTCGGCGGGGAGAGGCGTGCGGCGGGAGGGGGCAAGGGCATGCAGGGGAGTGCGGGGGGCACGGGCGAACTGGGCGCACGCGATAGAGGCGCGCTCACGCGGATCGTACGATCTGGTTTCCGTTTCCGTTTTGACCCGGGAGGTGCACCACACGAGTCTGCTGAATCCTATAAATAAATAGAAATTACTTTTACTTCCCACTATGTCTAGTTCGCACCGTCGAGAAAAAATATCACTTTTTTAAATATGAACACCGTGGGAAAAGCATTGGTCGAGCTGGTAAAAGTGTGGTACCTCGTTCGACGAAGGCGGTGAAGGAGTGGGCCCGGCGGGGGGCGTAGGCGGCGTTGGCGCGGCGCGGGGCAGCACTATCACCGAGTGAGGGGATGCAGGAGACGGGACCAGCCGCTCCAGTAGGGCATCCACGCGACCGACGCCGTGTCTGCGTGAAAATGAGAAGTATTACGGTATCGATAATTATAGGATCAATTTACATATGCGCGGTACTCAGACGTGTACAGTCGGTGCCCTCACTTAGGTGTCCATTATTTGCATAGCACTTAGTAGAAATAGTGGATATTTAAGTGAGTGCATCGACCCTACATACATAAGTATAGATTTTCACCAAAACAGCGACTCTTCGTATCATTGTTTATTTATATTTAAATTACTCTATATTTAACAAAGCTATTCTTATTTGTTAGTAATCTTTAGAGGTCAATTACCTGGGCTGCGCACGCGCGATGAGGCTGTTGATAGTGGGCGCGTCTCGCACGGACAGCGCAGGTGAGGGGTGAGGTGGGTGGGGGGAGTGCGCCGGCGCTCCATTGGCTGAGCCGCGTGCGCCCGTCGACAGGTCCACGCCCGCACCCGCTGCAACTGCACCCGTCGCCGCACCGCGGGCGTATGCCAGTAGCTCCTCAGGGCGCATTTTCTCTGTAATTGTTAATATATTATAATTTTGTAGAATAAATACTGCGCTTTTTTAAGTGTAAATGACACTGCAGAAAGATTTATTTTTCTTTCAAGCAACTTCACACTGTATTTACCTCTGCCTGGTCCCAAATGTGGGTACAACTCCGCTGGAGGCAGCGCTGTGCTGGCTTTCACGTCGCCCGGGGAAGGCGTGTGTCTGAAATAACACATTAATTTTGATTTGACCACCATAAATCATAATTTACTCTTTCGTATGGTGGACCACTGGAGCAACTTCTCTGAACCAATAAAACAAGAGAACTCACACCATACTGAATGTTGTAGCTTCTGAAGCAGGTTGCTTGCTACCTACTGATATACACCATATATGACCACCTTTTTTTTTTTTGTCCATATATCATAAAGAGTAGACTCATGTAATAGTAAATACCTGAGTAAATGTTTATCTGGCGGCGTAGGTGTGTGCCTGTAAAGTTCTGGGGGCGTGGCAGTGTGACGGAACACCGAGTTTGCGCCCTTCATCGCCTGCAATTGCAAGAGACCCTGTAGCCACAGCAGAACTACCATTAGTATTACATCGATAAGTATGAAAATAGCGGCAAATTATAAATAATTAATAAGCAAAATAATACCAAAGCACTATCCTAAGCACGTTACGCTCGTCCGATCGTACACTGGGAAGAACATTGGCGTGATAAAATCATGATTATTATATTTACATTCAAAGTTTAATTTATCTTTCGATAGTGATAGCTGCGTTTCTAAGCGGTATTCCATGTCGATCGACTTAGGAATTATCGTACTGAATCTTTACGTGATCTGACCCTGGACTACGTGTTATAAAGAATCACTAGTTACTTTAACTCGTTAATGGGCTGCACTTAAATAGTACTGCAAACACAAAGAACCACAAACGTCACTATTTTTCTTTGTGCCATAGAGCAAAGGTTGACATTAAATTTTATATTGATTGAATATAAGAGAATAGGGGAGGTACCGGCCTTGCTAATGGCGTCCGCCATAATTTTTATGTTATTTTTACGAAACCACTGTACATAGTTATTTTTACTTGACATTGGCGAAATCATCGATTATTTCGATGGGGCCATAACATTTAAAAAAAGAAG